GCACAATTTTTTTTTCATCTTCTTACCACATTCTTCTTCTTTTGAATATAATTCGATCTCACTTAAATTAATGGCGACTACCAATTTGTGATCGAATTCGATGCGAACCATCATTGATATCGTCTTCTTTTTTGTCTGGTACCCAAAACAATACATACAATCTTATCGCTTCGCTAAAACATTTAATTTACCGTTGTTTTCTCATTATAGCGAATTTCCACGTATCACTGTTACATGCTACGAAATTGAATCCATGTCAAAAGGGGAAAAAATTGGCCAAATTTTCTTCAGAAAATATTATACTTTGGTGTAAAGCCCCATTCAGACCAATTATGATCCTATCTCAAGTAAATTTTTAGTAAATTCTTCGATTCGAGTGAATTTCGTCGCATAATAATCCATTTCTTGGAAATTCCACCTCATTTTACCGTTTAAGTGGAGTTTGAGGTTGGTCTGGCTGTCCAAAAACCAATCACTTTAAAAGTTTTACCTGACTCCAAGTACCATACACCAGATGTTTGTACGTACAATTTCAATTATTCGCATTGAAAATTCATATTATCGACGCTTTCGGAACCAATATCAAATCCAATATCGAAAATCTGAAGCATCTGTCCGGAACAATACGAACTGATTCAAGTGTTATTTGGTAGCTCCGTATCTGATGAAACTTTATCAAGTTAAAACCCCATCCGAAATCACTTGATAAAGAATATTGATTTCTTCGCATTGATTTTATCACAACGCAAGATTCGAAAACAAAGTGTCGCCATAATTCTGACACGCAGAGCAATAACATTATGTAAATGAGCCATTTTCGATAGTTTCTTCGTGAATTCAAACTCCTCAATGTATGTCATGCTCTATTCAACTGAAATCACTGTTGGTATTGCTACTCCAACTGTTGGTGTTTGTTGTTGCACGTTCAAATGTAACCCCCACCAATTATCATCAGCAGCAGTTGCCAGTTTTATGCAATGATGTGTCATGTAAAAAGGTAAAGTTCATTGTACTCGTCTTTGTTTAGCGAATCCACCCTACGCCATTCGAGAATGGGAGTCATTATGCTATTATTCTGTAAAATTTTGCCAAATTAATTGACTATACAAACGATTATGGTAATAGCGAATGCATGTAACATCCAATTAAAAACGTATTCTCTTTACAGTTTCTTGAGTTCAACTTCAATTAGTCAAGATTGCATGAATCCGAATCGCAAAGTTTATGTGTTGGCGAGACATAGACTTTAGCATTTTTAACTTACACTCACTGAAAATAGCCCAGACAATCGCAGCACAAAAATACATTCAGTAAAATTCGCGTTGTTTACTAATCGCAATTATTCGAGGGCTAAAATCATTTCGGATTACTTGTGCTGGCTATAAATTAAGCTTAAGTGCAAAATGTGTACCAATTTTACACATAATCTGTAATACGGTATTTTAGAGTGTTGCGGCTAAGCCAAAAAAAAACACACCTAACGCCAATGATACAATTTCAAAGGAGCACATTCCATGACATGGTCTCGTAAAATGATTCGGGTGTCACGTTTTCGCGAAGTAATACTTCTTTAGCACTTTACTCGGGGACACATCGCGAATTATCGGATAAAGTCATGGCGAATTTGCCGCCAATTCCAGCCTTAGCTTTTAAGTATAATCAAACGACGTACAAATCGATAGGCATGCGAAGAATGCGAAGCTTTTTTTACGACGTACGCATTAGATTCAATTGCCTATCATATCTGAACTCTGTAAATACGTTCGCATAGTTGCCGATCTAATTCATCGTTCAGTGACACACAAAGTCGTTCCTACTTTCTGGCATCAGTAATATAGCAATAGTCAAACTCATGAAACAACGGTGATAATTACGACAACTGATAGTGTATGTGTTCACCAGCTGCGCTGCTACTACTGCTACTGCAATCCACTACTACTGCTCTAACATTTCTTGCGACGGTGAATTCACCAAACTGCTATAAATGGGACATGCGATTTAATGGTTGAACTTCGTAAACGAGTGGGACGAATGGGAATTTCTCTGCTCTTTGATTGACGCGGACATTGTGCTACTTGCCGCCGTATAAATCGGTGTACTGTGGCAAAACACAAAAACTGGTGCACGACGACGGCGACAAAATTTCAAACGATTAATTTGGGACTTAGACGATTTTACTAGCGATTAACACATAAAATTTATTGCGGTCTGACCATGACCACGGTAGATGAATTTCTCACGTGAACAGAGCACTGAGTACACATACGCTTCGTGTCAACAGAATAAAACAATTTTACACTGTCTCTCTGTCTGTTTTACGGTGAATATTTATTTGCAGTTTTGGGCCAGCGTAAATTGTGTGCATTTTCGTGTCGACATTCTCGACCCGGCGATAAATCACGGTAAGCGTAATGAGGCAATTGTGCAGATTATGGCGATAAAGAAACTTTTCCATATTGTCGTCAAATAAAAAAAGATGTAAAAAGTTGCATTTTTATGACCGAATCGTTATTAGCCAAATTAGAAGTGAAATTCTGCACAAGCATAAAAATACCAACACAGTAGTGCTTTTAGTGGCCGGGCAACAATGCATTTCGTTACAATATGTACATGCATGCGTCTATAAACGATAATTTGTCGCGCTGAACAAAAATAAATCGATGGAAGCTGTGCATGGCGTGCACAAAGTGTCTCCATGGAAGTGCAAAATGAGAATCGAAGATTGTGTCATTTTAAAAACAGTTACTTGCAAATTGCAGCTCGCTGGTGGTGTGCCGGTGGTGTTGTTTTGCCTTTGCTCAACAGCGACACATTCATTTAATTCGAACGCTCTTCCTATATTTTTCTGCTGGGTTTGTTATTGCATGTGCAACCCACAACGGAGTGCCACACGAGTGCCATTACTATTCACATCGACGCATTTACTGACACATGGTAACCAACGCAAACGACATGTATCCAAAACTAATTGCAAACAAAATCATTTCGTCTCTGTCTTGCTTTCTATCCATCATGTGTTCCTCTCTCTCTCTCTTACATGGCTTTTGTGCACTTTGTAAAAACGTGACGTTAAAAATGAAAAAGCACCGAGTTATCGCATCAATTTATCTTCGTTTGTTGAACGAGCGCCGCGCACAATTACGACAGCCGTCGGAATGGGCTTCAGATTGTGAAATGCATTGCGACTGATACACATTTATGCGTTTTCAATGTTTTGGGTAGATAAACGTGCCATTAAATGGACGAATACAATTGGCGAGACGCGCCATTGTAGGAGAAATAAAATGCATTAATAAAATTGAAAAAACCAGATTTCCCGTGCAATCCATCAAAATCTCAATTGAATCACATCGGAACACGTGTATACAATTATAAGGCGAGAATGCGCGAGAGTACTAGCACGCTCTACCTTCTTCTCTGCCACGCTCATTTGCAAACATAATGAAAACGATTCAATTCGAAATCGATTTGGAGCAGTCGGTTTATTCAATTACATTGACTTCATTTCCATGCTAAATTCGAAATGTAAACGATGAGAGCAGAGAAAGAGAGAAAAACACGCAACGAGCGTTTATATACTTGAATTTAAAAGAATCATTTCCATGTGTTTCCATTTTATGCTTTCTTCATGTTGACTTTGTTTACTACATTTTCTCGTTTCTGCGTGCTTGTTTTAGCAAATATTGCTGGGAGAGAAAAACGAGAGAGAGAGAGAGAGAGAGAGAGAGAGAGAGAGAGAGAGAGAGAAAGAGAGAGATGTGTTGCTCATCGCACAATGCGGATCAAAAATTCATTTATTATATGAATTAATGTTGACATCGCTCGATTTAATCGACTCCATTAAAATGCTACTAAAAGAGAGTAATTTTCTAATTGTTTTGCTCCTAAACACCGAAAAATTGTTCTAATGCAGACACAGTTGACACACAGGCTAAAGTATTCATGACAATGGAGATCATGGATGGAAAATATGTTAATCTGGTGTATAATAGCCCGTCTGATGTACAATCTACATACAGCATACATTAACACATCTGACAACAATGGAAAAGCACATCAAGTGTTAAACACATAATTGACAATGCTTTGGAAAAAAAAACATATGCCGACAAACAGACAACTTTTTATTGGACCGACCGACCCAAAGCATTTAGGCGAAAATCGATAATACAAAAGGGAGAGAGACAGGAGGAGGGTGTTAACTTGTTTTTGTATGCGAAAGTTTACAAACAAATCGATCGGCACGTGTCTGTATTACAATTTTATTTTCATAGTTTTTACGGCTCCATTTGATCTTAATGATCCGTTGTAAAACTAATCGAAGAGTGGTCAATTTTCATGGGACAAACGAATCCAATTTTCCCTCGATTTGAAAAGGTTTTTTTCGTTGATTATTATGTTTTTCTTTCGAAACATAATATCCCAACGACTGTGACATATATACGAAACACGCGCTTTCCGAAGTCCAATCAGTTTTCAGCACCATTGTTACTGGTGTGCGCCTATCAAATTGAACCATAAAATTCCCTGGTGAAAGAGAAAATCAATGGATGAAAAACTGGAGGAAAAACAATAATATTTTCAGCGCCAGGAAAATGTCTTTGAAAAAACATTACGACTTTACAAACGAACGAGAAGACGAATGAAACCAGCATATGTTTTGATGAAAATTGAATCAAAACATTTCGACAGTCGAGCGCTTGCGGCACCAAACAAATTGGAAAAATGGAATTTCACGTTGGAACATCGCAATAAACATGTAGTACACTACATCGTTTGCTTTAAAAGTGAATAAGAGCAAATGTGTGGAGCAAGTGGAGCAAGAACGTTAAAATGAAACACAACTGTGAAACACCTCACAAAATATAGTTAGGGAAAAAAACTTGTACGGCAAATATGTACGGCACATGCACGACGGCGACACAACAGAAATTTCTGGAAAAAGGTTATTAAAAATTTTCCAAATGATTTTTCACTTTTTCATTCGCTTTTCATTTTTGTTCTTTTTTTTGCGTGCTTCAAGTGAGATACATGTTCACAGTTGCGATTGCTAATATTTGAACTGTACTACTCTTTGCATTGTATCGTGCCTTTTGACGCTCTTTACGACTCACATTCTCGAGCTTTCACATTACACTGTTTTTGTTGGTGTTTGTTTTTGATGTTCTGAATGTGTGTATGTGCGAATGTTTCGTGGCACAAATGAAACGTATGGAATTTTCCCGTTTGAAGGTCATTGTAATTTTTAGCGGAATTATTCTTTCTTTATTCAGGATGAAAGTAATCGCAAACCATTCCAAAAAAGCACACACCAATGAACAATAACAACAACAACAACAACAGCAGCAACGGGCAAAATGAAACATTGAGCGTGTTTAATGAACAGCTTGGAATGCATTGCTACAACTTCATTATTCATCGTCTGTGTTTATTGAGCCTGTTTCGCAATGAAAGAACATGCACAACGAAAGCCAATCCAAACGGAAGTCGATTTTTTCGCGGCTTTTCGACTGAATTTGTCTCGGTTGTCATAATAAATGCAAATCGCTATCGACATAATATTACATGTTGCTATAAATGTCTGGTTGTTTTTTCTGAATGTGGAAAATTCTGTCGAACTAAAAGTAGGTCTCTGCAAACGAAAATCAGCTGACATGAATAGGTAACCAACAACCCACACTTAACACATACTCAATTTCAAAATTGAGTGAGCGGTATGGATGTGCAATTCAGGTTGAACATTTTTGATTTATGGAATTTGCCGTTCGTGTTTTCGATCCGGAATATTCAGTGCTATAAATATCACCGCACGGTACCTTTCTCTTCGACCGTAAATCATATCATATTTTATCTCCACATTTCGATGGAATAACGAACAAAAAAATTCCAATTTTCGCGATACAATGCTCAGTGATGTGAGAAATGTGCATTACATACATTCGACCGGACAGTTAAAAGCGCTCGCTTTATCGCACCCATAGTTATAATCAATCACTGTAAATGAAATTGAATAGAACGAAAATGTTCCGGATTGAATCTTTTTAATAATATCACATTCTTTCTGTTTTCTCATTTCTCTTTAGATGCTTCCTTCATCTGAGGGCTGTTGCAAGTTATTTACATGAATGCAAATAAAACGATTCGACGCTTCGCAACAACAACGACTTCAGCACGACTAGAACAACAGCGTGTAATCCCCAACGAAGGAGAACAACAGATTTTGTTGTCAAGTGAATAAAGGGCAGCATTTTGCATCGTTTGAATGCGGGTGCTTACTTGGAAATTGTATATCAAAACCAAACAGAGGAACGAGAATTTTTGGCGAGAAATTTTTAATTTAAACCGTGTACTTAATTAATCGCTTGACTGCAAATTGGAAAACGATCCGTATTAAAAGAGACGTGGTTAAATGCGCGCCGCGCGTCAAGAAATCAAAAATATATCATATTTTGTGTAATTTATGGTTTGAATTTCATCAGCCAAAAATAATCGGGATCAAATAAATATTATTAACAAAGAAAAAACGACGATTCGAGAACCGGTCTGAGTTATCTCGAATGAACTGACACATAAAGGCCAAAAAGCGATAAAATTATCAGTTGTTTTTCGTGCAAAAACGATATAGATTTTCAGTAACTCGTGGGTGTCGGGTGTTAATTTGGATATTTCAAATCAAGCGCGCCCAAATTCGCACGCATTTTTATCGCATTCTAATCTATTCTCGTTGGTTTATTGTACCGCTCGGCAGTTGGCCGTAGCGCAAAAGTCGAAATCGATTTTAACAACTCATCCTGATACACATTGACTTTATCGCAAAACATCAACCGACGAAGAACAGTGCGCAAAACTAACATCGACTAAATGAGTGTTCAGTCGGTCATTGGGGCCAAATCAAAGCGTTCTAGTATTGAATGCGCTTCTCCAAATCAAAGCCACAAATCAAAATATGTGAATCGGTTCGTGTTCTGTGAAATTTAAAATCAAATTCAAATTTTTCCAACAAAAAATAAATAAAATACAAGTATAAAAACTATGAACAATAACACAGTTTCGCCCGTGGTTTCGATATCAGTGCAAACATTGGCTGCAGCCTTGGCAACCAATTCAACAGCAGACATGGCAAGCAACGATGCAATTGCAGCCGCATTCCCATACAATCGAATGCAAACAGATCAAGTTGAGTCGGATGTCACCAATCAACCATGGCTAGCACACGATCGTTACACCGAAATCCGCGAGAATGTGGTTCTATGGTCGATAATAGATGGTTTACTCTTTGTAACGATTGTGTGCGGAAATTGTTTGACCATTGCAGCCGTACAGTTGAGTCGACGATTACGGAGTGTGGTTTCGAATTTGTTCATTCTATCATTAGCCATATCGGATTTATTGGTCGGTCTAACCATACCGTATCACTTAGCATTTTATTTGGATGTGACACTGGGCGAATCGCATATCGTGTGCATCATGAAATTTTTCTTTAACATTGTTGCGTGCTGCGTGTCCATTTGGAATTTGATTGCGATTGCAATTGATCGGTACGTCGCCATCGTGTATCCATTACATTACAGTCGATGGATAACAAAGCGAACGGCAATCACAGTGATTTTATTCGGTTGGATATCGGGCACATTGATGGGTGCCATACCGCTGTTTTGGAACAACTGGGCCACTTCCACGGAATGTGAATTTGATGAGATCCTGCCGCCATGGTATGTTTTTTTTTCCACGTATTCCATTTGACGTTTCGTATTCTGCGCACATCAAGCGTGAACGCTTTCTAACATTAAGTCCCGATTATATTCAACAGGTATATGGCTGGCATTATAACACCGGTCTTTTCACTTATTTGGTTCTGTATGCTTACACTCTACTGGCGAATATGGCGAGAGGCCTACAAACATGCAAAGCAACTGCGAGCAAGCATTTCGGGACTGCACGACGGTGGACATTCCGACTGGAAAAGTGTGCAGGTAATATATTTCTAAAAAAAAACAATTCATTTACATTTGTCTGCTGAGAAAACCATGCAAAGTCAAGAACATCAAAGGCATTTTTTTCTATTCGTTGCAATTTAAATGGAAAAGCAAGAGCTGAAAGTGATTGCCAAAGCAAATTGTCCAAAATTACCGGTCATAAATAAATTTTGACTTCGTTTGAATGCTTTGGCTCCGGCCACTGCTTTGAAAGCTGAATAAAAAGTGGCAAAACACGTTTTACCTCCTGCTGGATGTAATTGCATACGTTGCCATTGGAAAGGATCGCGTCACACGCATAATTTACGAGGGAGAGAGAAAAAGACCTTAATAACAATTTTTGCTGCTCGAGCAAAGGGATGTAAACAAGTGCGCTATGGCTCGAGTGTAGTCGAGTGTGAATTGTGGATAATTCGGTTTTTATGTGCGAAAGTGAAATGATGGGAATGGATTGCAACCATTTTATAATGTGCAAAAAACTCTTTGAAACAAACACATTATTTTATTCCTACATTTTTCTGCAGAGAAAAAAAAATTGATTGTGATAAAAACGAATAACCCATTTCAAAACTCAATGTCATTTCCATATTTTGTTAAATGAACAAAATGTGCTTTGACTTCCTATTCTGGTGAAATGCTATTAATATTTCTAGGGCCGACAGTCATTTTTTTTTTTGCAAACGAATTTTCTCCGGAAGTCATAAAAGACTTTCTGTGCGCCATTCGGAGTAGTAGTTTATCGTTTTTATATTCATACGTTATGCGATTCGGTACTAGATAAACCCATTTCAAATGAACCATGATCGATGGATTTATCTGTTGTTCAAAACGAATGAATTTTTCTCCAGTGGAAAAACCCTAACCTTTTCATATTCCATCCTATTTGTACGTAAACGTTAGAGATGTATTTGTTTATTCGGTTTAATATTTTACAACCTCCGCTCGTCGCACACCCTTAGCGCTCAAAGTCACCATAAAATGCTAATTCCGTAATAAAGTAATTAGAGCAAACTTTCATCGTTAACTAAAAATAAACATGCCAAACATCATAAACGCCAACGCAAAATAAATGGGACAAATTCGATTCGTTTGTCACCCATAAATAGAAACCGCAAACCGCACTCTTCAAACAGAAACTAGGTAATGCAAATTGAAACTCGATACAGTTTCCAGCCGCTTTTGTTTGACATAATTTTCGCTTTTAGCGCGAGCGAACGACCGGGGGAAATGTAGGAGCACAATCCTCAACGGGTGCGTTCAAACGCACCGCAAATACACATTATACAAGACAGTTTGAAAAAAGAACTTGACCCACATTTTTTCGATACTCAGACTATCGGCAACTCAATCATAAATGTGTTGTCGATTTTTCAAACGGAAAATAAAACGAAGAGAGAAAACGCAATCAAACAACACACCGTGCCCGATAAACGATTCTAAAAATTGATTTATATTTGAATAAGCTCAAGTGAAAACCGTCAAGTGTTCGCTGGTGTGGCATCAAATCTAGAGCAAATTGATTCGGAAATTAGTGAATTGTGTTCAATGCTAACGTAACCTAATAATATGATTTAATGAAACACGCGGCCAATTCAATTTTTCGAAAATTGGAAAACGATTCAGAGAAACGGCAACCATTTTCCCAATTCGTTACCAAATTCAAAAATATATTCGAACGTGTTCAAGACAGCTTCGATTTTATGAATGCATCCTCTGTCAGTTTATGACACATGCCAAGTCTATTAATTCCAAAGCATACACAATGGGCACATACACACATATTTACATCTAATTAGCATTTCGTTGTTGTTTTATTTCCCTCCATGAATACAATTTCCAAACACAATATCAAAAATTGAATGAGCAAAAATATCATCTCTAACTTTTTTTTGATCAGTGTTATCGTTGTTCCAGTAATTAAATTCCATATGAATTGTGTACGCGTCGCATGAATTGAATTGATGTACATATATTTTGATTAAACGCAAAATGCTACACTGTTTCCATTGTCATTTTCCGCCGAGCGTTTGGCCATGAATCATATGTTTATGTGTATTTAACCGTTGGTTTTCGTTCCATGGAATTGAAATAATTTTAATGAAAAAACCGCGAATATTCAACATTGGCTTTTACGGTTGCGGCGCTATAAAATTGAGTTTGCCTCTCAGAAAGAAACACATTGGGAGACTGATATCAGCCAAAATGAATGGCGGGGATTCAAATAAATGATGTGATTTCGGCTCTTTTTTTGTGGCTTCCCATATTATTAAAGATCATTATTTCGGGAATGGTTTTTTTTGCTGCTTTCGTTCGCCCACTCTGTGTGCGTAAATTCAATGCCTTTTTTGTGGGCATGTTGTGAACACGAAATGGCCATGAAAAGGTCTTAGCATAAGCATAAATGGATTCAAATGTGATTGGGTCACCAGATACATTAACGTATGAGATTACCAAATTGATTTTCAACGAATGGAATGCGAGCAGACGGCGGTCTCGTTGGAACTCCCATAAAATTTCTATAAATAAAACGCAATGATACCTTATCAATAACAAATGCTAAATCCAAACATATGCGATGCGATGCGACACATCAAATTATCGTAAGCAGTGAACCAATTTTTGCGACACCATCGTCACAAGAGACCATCATCGCATGCGGCCGCAGAAACTTTTTTGTGTTGACATTCCGTGAAATCAAAAAAAGGAACAAGAACCGTTCATTCATGCTCTTGAAGCGAATCTTTTGCGCACATTTGTTTTTTACTTTGAATGTTCTAACGTGCCCACGAACACCATTATCCATTTCGATCTGGTTCGAATGAATTTTGCATTTTGATTGAGATGCGAAACAACTTAAAAGCGATCGTATCGTGATTTGATGAACATGAATGAAGATAAAGATCTGCTGCAGTCAATTGGCGACATTCCATCGAATGCGTGAGCGTGAGAGAACGACAACAAATCAAGCAAGTAAAATGACTTTTTTTTTCTTTCGAAGAGCACCAAACTCTCGCTCCGCATAAACGTCAGAAAAGAAATAAACAGAGCACATTTTTGCGCTTTCTAAAAATAGATTCGCTTTAGTTATTTGTAGCATCTCCGCATGAAGCAAATACCGCAGTATATTTTGTAACCCATTCATCTGGGGGTAGTTTCATTCAAGGCCATCATTCGGAGCGGACAAAAAAAAATCGCAACAACAAATTTTATAATACGCGTACGACCCTATACAAATCGGGAAAATTCAATTCCGCATAAAGAAACACATAATTTGCTGCTACACAAAAAGCCAATAAGTAAAATGGGATATGACAGTTGGAAATATTCACAACGGCGTGCACGCTTTGATATTGAAATACATGGAATGGTTATTTTTACGGCTCGTGTCTTCAAAATCAACATATTTTGTTTTTTGTTCTGGCGTGCTTTAGGCATAAATGGAACAATATGATATTGAACCTGAAAGCTGAGCACAAATGGTGCGAGAGTGGAGTAAGAGTGTGTGGCACGAAACGCTTACAATCAAAATAAATTGACACTAATTTTTACCAAAAAGTGACATGATAGAAATGATTGCGAATTGAGCTGTTCACTTTTTTGCTTTCATGAGCATATTTTGTTTGCTATTCCCCGAACTCGGAATCGTTAGCTCGTGCGTCGTGGTGATTTTTATTTAATCTCCATTTATGGATCAATGGACTGCCAAATGGTTTTCACTATAGGCACAAATCGAATCCCTTTGCACATTGGATCCATGCATGGAATGAAGAAAAGGAGAAAATTATATTTTGACGACAGGATTGAATTATTTTTTTTTCCCAGTGAATAACAGCTATCAAATGCTGGTTATGTGCGTTATTTTGGGCTTGGCACGTGTTTCTAATTTGATTGTAAAAATATGCGTCTTATCTCGTTGCAGGTTGTTATTTTGATTTTGGGATGCTTTACGATCTGTTGGCTGCCATATTTTGTGGTGGCGTGTTCGCAGATATTCAAGTTCGCCGCAAACAGTTCGCCAATTTACTACAAGGCTGCATTTTCCTTGGCAATGGCAAATTCGGGCATGAATCCAGTGATTTATGCATGGAAGAATCGTACATTTCGACGAGCATTCATTCACTTGTTGCGCTGTCGAACGCCCGACTCGCACGCTCTAATTGACGACGAAAATGCACGACAGAATATGAAGCGAAAATCATCATCATTAGCGCCATCATTATCGGCACCGCCACCCACACCAAACAGTGTGATTGCAGCCACACCACCACCGATAAACGCCCCTGATTCACATCATCATCGTTCGTCGTTGCATCGATATCATCATGGATTCACGACCGCTTTCCCGCTACCACCACCGCCGCCGTCTCCACAGTCGCCGGTTCAAGAGCCAATGGAAACCATTGTCATTGCTCCAAATGTGAGATGTGTTTTCGGTAAGTTGAACGCGATAAATGTGAAAGCTGTGCTTTCAAAAAGCTTTAGAAAAAATGTTATGACAAAATTTAAATTTACATTCCATTTTCCATTGTTCAAAAAAAAAACAAAAAAAAAACAAATAGATTCACCAACCGAAGCTCATGCTGACATTGAAAATAATAATGATGAACAGCTAAACAACCACTTGTACTTGCATCCGAGCATGAATCGTTGGCATTCGTTTAGTAAAAATCATCACATCATCATGGACGATGATATGCTGAAGACCGAATTTAAGAATTTCAACAATAATGAATTGTATTTGCGTCGCTTGACCACAACCAGTCCAGCCGAATCAATTGTTTCGGCCCCATTAACGCCGACGGGAAATTTAATCGTAAACATACTGGACAATTTGGAAAATCATCATCAGCACAACACCGACAATATGAATCGCAAAAACTATCGAAACAGTACGAACTGCGTAATTGGACATAATTCCAACGTCGACGGAACAACAACGCCGATTTCATATCACCCAAACAACAAATTGCCCACTGTTGCGCTTAATTCGGCCGCCACCACTGCTGCCGCTGCCGTTGTCGACCATCGATTTAACGGTCATACAAAAACCATTCCAATTCCGATCACATCAAATACATCGCAAAACGGCGGCACACTGGTTCAGTGTGTCACCATTGCAATTAACAACAACGACAATGTCGGACACATTATTCAAGACGATGACCATCACCATCACCACCACCACCTCCACCGCCACAATAACTCAATCAAATCGAATAGTTTGTATTGCAATCGAGGCTACAGCCTGAGCAGCAGCGCACCGCAATGTATCAATTGCTGGAGTGGACCAACATGAACGAATTTTCATCACAGTACACATATTTTCAACACAGGATAAACACTCATCAATTTCCTTGCGAAAAAATATACAAAAGTGAAAGAAAAACAACCCGCCCGCGAATGGTTTCATTCCATTGTTGTAGTGTAGTTAAATTTTAGCAATGATCAAATGTTCCGTCAAACAAACAGGTTTCAGGGAATATGTAGGTATGTGTGTGTGTGTGTTTCACCATTCAATCTCGTGTTTAATTTTCTTGTGAAATTGTTGAATGAAACAAATGAGCGAATATTTCCATATTTACATTTGCACACGTTCCATATTCCGTTTGTTTGAAAGAGTTGTATAGTTAAAATTCAACAGAAACACTCCAAAAGCTTTAAATACCAAGAAAAATCTATGTCCTAACCATAGAGAGCTGACAACCAGTGCACAGAGTGCAGAATATCCATTTGGAATTGAAATTCATTGATTTAGATATATGTGGGCAGAATAAATGACGTTGTTTACCATGTGTGTATGGCGGTGGTAAATTAATGAAATGTACTAAATCAATGTTTGAGCTTCTTGAGAAATGGAATGACGCAAATCTTGGTGAAAAAAGCAAAGCCAAAATGATGTGTACACATGACAAATGTAGATAGAAATAGTTAAGCAAATCGTCGCATCGTTTGGATATTTTTTCAACAATTTTTTTAAGGGATTTCCAAAGAAAAGAAAAACGAGTCCAAAATGAAGAAGGAAATAGTTGATTTTTCATGTTGTAAAGTTTAACGAGTTAATGGATAAAGAATGCGCAACAAAGTTTTCCTCTTTTGTTTGCCAATATATTTCAGCACGTTCCATGGCCATACCATATGGTTTTATAATAAGAAAACTTTTTCACCTAGACATTGCTCTATTCAAATGTGGAACGACGGAAAAATTAATGACATTCGATTTTTCTATCGTCATCCCTTTCTTTTCCACTTACAGTCAATTGGAAGTTATCTCGCTTTCAATCTCGACAAAAGAACATGCACACAGAGCAAACTTTTAACCAATTTCAGTTGTCAGAAAGAGACAGTGGGGCGGAACAGAATGAAGTGATATTCTATGAAGAAAAATCGAATAAAGTTTTCAAGCCAAATTAAACATTCATAACAGAGAGACATCTCCAGATTAAATATTTATTCATAGTATACCATATAGTGGATAGTATATAGCTAGTTGTAAGTTTAACATTTCAATTCATTTGAGAGTACGAGAAACGTTGAGAGAACGACAACGACGTTCAGGCGAATTGGGAATCAACTGGACGAGAACTACGAAACGTGAGAAAGTGTAATTTATTTTAATAAAAGAAAAAGTAGAAGGAGACGAGGGAAAAAACACTAAGTTTATTTTATGTAAATTACCTGTGATATAATGTTTATGTTTTAGACATAAATAAGGAATCGATGCCAAGCATTCTGATGAAATGAACACAACACTTTCGAGAATTGAAACGAATCACATTAAATAAATGATTATTTCATGTAAATGTCACAAATGATCAAATCCATGTTACTATCTCAATAATCTATAAAAATCAATATAAATGAAATTCCATTTTGGTGTATTTTGTACCCTTTTTCATACACACTTGCACACGCACTCAATCACCCATTCCATACACAAACACATACACATACACATACACATACAGCAATCCCCTCCCGAATAACATAGCTGCATCACAAATATTGCATTTAAAATGATTGTCCATGTTTATTTGATTCGTTCAAAAGAAAACATTTATTAACTATTCAACAGTCTGGTCCATGCGATTTGGTGCGATTGTCAAAGAAAATACCAATTGGAAATTGGAATTGTCATGATGCACCCACCCTCCTCATAGCACATGATCGAGCGAAAAGCAGAATACCATACAATGTGGACACATTGGAACGAGAAGTTTAGCAACGATGCCAATGTAACGGAGAAAAGAACGTCGAATGTGTGGATAAAGAAATGAAAGAATTGCCAATGGTAGTGAACATGTTCGATTTTGCACAGCGGTAGCGTGTCTAACTGCTCGCAGTAGCATCTTAACTTGAATGTGATGAAAAATTGACTTGATTTTCGTTGGCAAACAGCAACGGAGAAACAAATTGTGGCAAAGAATTTCTGCTCCATTCGGTATGCAATCGTGTGCCGATTGAGATGAACACACATGGCAAATAAAAACGAGCACACTGATGAAAATGAGTTGGTATATTTTTCTTGATTTTGGATGAATTGAAGGATTTTTAGATTTAATGTTGATTTTTATAATTTTTTTTTTTTTTGCAAATTTTGGCCAATTTACCAATTTTGACAGTATAAAATTGACATTAATACCATAAAAAAAGATTCATTATCGTCATCCGGTCATTATTAAATTTTAAATTAATGAATTAAATTTGATTTGAGCACTTTCACTTAACGAAAAATACGGATGATATTTCACTTATTAGTAAAATCATAATAATTGAATCAAATTAATGGAATAAATTTCTCCGCAAAGTAAAAATACCCTGTGACATTTCGATATGAAACGAAATCAAGACATATTTACCGGCTCAATTTTTTTTCAGTGTGTACACTACCAGCGACTCAGAGTCATTTATTTTCGCTTGAAAATCAAGTCTATGCCATGCGCCCGAGTCAAAGAATCTTGCACACGCATAAAAAAGCCAGACAAAAAATACAAACTTCCCACATTGCTCACATCCTCTTTCCAAAGCATAAAACCGAACCAAATACCATGTATCAAACTTAATAGATGTGTATATATGTTAAACAAGAGCAGATATTGTCAAACAAACACAAAAAAAAAACTTGAAATAATTTTGTTAGATTTATGGACAAATTTTATTACTAAATTTTATTATTATTTTATAATCTGTGTATAAAAAAAAAGAGAGAAAAATATATCATCAGCATGAGTTTTGAAGTTATCTTAAGAATGAAGAAACGAATTTCAATGGGATCCGTATATTTTGCGAAGCAAAAGTATTTGATAGGAAAATTGAAAGAAGAATGATGCACCCATGCTGCAATGCATATATGTAGGGGAATCCAAGCATACCAAAACCGATAACATAAAAAAAATCGAATTGTCTTTGTGATATGAAAATTGAATGATTACGAACCAAAAATAAAAAAAAGCTATTTTAAAAATTATAATCCGATTATTGTTTGATTATGTTTGCTGTCGCATTTTTTTGGCAGCCAAAAATGAAACCGAAAGACATAACATTCATTAGGAGAAAAGTGTCTTGAGGCTATTTTCGGTAAGTAATATTCGGCAACTCATTGGAAGAATAGAACCACAATGTATTTCTTGTTGCCACATGCACGAGAGGATTATTGATTTGGCTTGTTTCTCTCTTTCTCATTGCAACAGTTCTCCTAATCTGATGGAACACAAAAGAACTGAAGTGTTACACAAAAAGCTCAAGCCAATCAAGAGATTATACAATAACATGCATTATTTCTGTTTTCTAATTCCGGTGTTGGTTGTATAGGTGGTGGTTTCGCATTGTTTTGCGAATCCAATAAATTAAACGGTTCAGTTTGAATTGGATTTTATGTAATCGGCTCAGTAAAGCGAATAATGCCAAACATGGGGAAATGAGAGCGTGAGTGAGTGCATGGATGGGAACAGACTTAAGAAACTCCACTTCGATTGGCATACGCACACAATAAGACTTGACAACACCATGATTACTCTTCTTGGAACAATTAGTATATTCCATGGGCTTCTTTTCCTTTTCAGTGCAATGAAAATGTGCTGAATCAGCACACATAAATAGCAATCTTTACAAGTAAACATTGTTCTTCTTTCGATGTTCGATTGTTTTTATGTATTGAGCGTCCAAGCAAGTGTATATGCTGTGAATCGGTGGAAAACGGCAAATTAGTGTGGACATTTCTTGTCATCGTCATCATTGTCGACAACACTAACTGGACACATCGATCAAAAATTCCGCTTACTTCAGATCAATTGTTAATAAAAGATACTTTGATGAGTTTAATCCATCAAGGAGAGTAATCACATTAGCAATCAAATTGTATCGCAAGGAGAGCAACGAAAATGCGGGTCGAATGATAAAGTTATAAAGCAGTTAGCAACAAAGATAAGGGACCAAACCGTGTCGGTGGGAACAGAAGCGAAAAAAGCGGAAACTATGTGAAAGTGGCCGATGTGAATGGACAAACACAAAAACACTGTGTTTTTGTTACATTAAAATGGTGCAAATATTTTGAATAGGCAAACAGTTTTTCAAACTTCTCCATCCATATTCACTTCAATTTTGTCCTATTGATGTGTCGCTTTTTTGTATTTTTTCCATTGTAACAGTTCATACTTTCCACAACAGCTCTTAATGACTTTGCCCTTAATTTTCAATGGCAGTTTATTCCATTTGCTGGAATCGCCACTTCCGCGTGAAGCCAAATACATTTGATGATATTTTTTTCTATGGAAAGGAAACTTTCATGATAATTCAATTGTTGTTGCTTGTTATTAACTCACAGGAGATTGAGATAGAGTATTGAAATGAAATGAGCTACGTGCAGGAAAAACTTTGCTTGGGCTATCATTAGAAACGTATATGAAAGGAAATATGCACATGGATTTCGAAATGAGATGAAAAGCGTGGTAAGATTTGCATCAAGAATCGTGTCTTGACAACACTCGTTCGTGGGCGAAATATAAGCGCTGCTCGAGAAATTCTTCTTGCTTCATAGAATATTTTCAACATTTTGTCCAATCGATAGACATCTATTTTGGCCATAATAAATATCAAGGTCAGTTTTAAAATAGTCGCAACATTTACAAGGCATTGTAATTACATACTCATAATATTTTTTGCTTGATTGACATGCACGTAATGCTTTCGATTGGATTTACGTATTGAGGCAATTGTGAATGAAGATTGGTGGTCAAATGTAGAAATGCATTGGATGAAGTTTTTATTTTCATGGCTAATTTCTCGAGAATTGTCAATTTACTCAGTATTCGAAATAATTCTGACAGAATAATTCTGTCAAAAATCAATTTAATAAATTACCGTATCTTCGAAAATGTTCCCTGAAATTGGATGAGTTCACTATTTTTAACTGAAGCTTGCAAATAGTTGATAGTATCGAGTTTCAGACTTTGAGAGAGAGTTGAAAAAGTGTTTAAATTAAATTAAAAGCTCGACAATGCATTTATTGGGGTTGTAGTGATGGTAATAGTGGGCAATGTGGTTCGGCACCAAAGTTATCCATGAACTGTTTTTATTCTATAAAAATTCTTCAAGTTCGTGCCGCCTCGGTGACTCGTTCTTCAGGTTGCACTTGTGAGTTGAATGACGTTGATAGTGGGCGGTACGCATATTTAACTCACAGAAATGTACCTCCGTAATTTATAAACTAATAGTTTTTTCAACTTCATAGTTGTTCTCTTTGTACTGCAAAGATTCCGACCAAATACTTTTCAATTCAGGTGACCTTTGTCAGCATTTGTGTATTCAATTAGATTCCCATCACGAGAATTCAATTTATTTGGTGTATAATCAAATGTATGCCAATTTAAATTAAGTTATTTATGGATAAATCGGTCATTTTGATCAACCAATTAATGGGATAAGCGTTCTGAATGAATTTTAAGAGCCTGTATTCGATATTGAGTCTTCAATTAAAGTGATGATCCAATTGCAAATGAAGATTGATGAAAAGACACACGAGACAAGAAGTCCCTTGGCAGTGGGCAACATTTGTATATAATTAAATTCATCATAATTCCTCCGGAATTGTCTGATAAAAGATAAGGAGTTCATGCAAATTATTTTCCACCATAGCTGATGGATGTAAAATCAAACTAATCAATTATGATGGTGCTTACAGCGAACAAGTTTCCTGATTCCAAATTCAATGATGAACATCGATTCACACATAAATATCAGCCTTATTCCACAAAAGTGGTTCAATGTCATGCTGTAGTTTCGACTGTATCTCTCAATCGAGTATCAAATACTGGCTTCATACTCGATATGATGAGTGACTGAAAATTTAATGCAGCTTAAAAAATATGAACTTTCAACTCGAAGAACAATTTACGACGATTGAAATTGAACGACCAAGATTAATTAACACGCAATACAATGAGGGATTTAAATGATTTTACAGAGCTCAATATTGGATCAGTAAAATGCCCGTCTCAAATCAATTTGTTCCGGTAATTAAGGTAATGCAAATGCATATTGCAGAAAAAATTCCAATTGAACCGTTGAGAAACAGAGTCCTTTGGGAGTAGATGACATTTATATTTCTCTGAGTTTGTTTCATTTTCTTCTTTCTCAAGAAGTTTTAGGTAGTGGTGAACTTGAACAAATTAATTTCCACCGTGGTTACCAGGTTACGTAAAGCTGGAATAATCAACAGATTACGATAACAGAGTGCAAGTTTCCTGACACCCGATATAATTAAGAACATAAACTCTAAATAAACTGAATATCGGCGCAGTACCACAGAGCCCAAGATTCAGTTACCTATAAAATAGTTTATTGTTTGAAATCGCAGTGATTGTCGAGCAATTACAAAAATGAATTTGAAGTTTGTTCTTGTATTCATTGGGATTGTTGCGATGATGATATCGATGATGATTGGCAACGTAGTTAGAAATTGTAAACCAGCTTATGCGTGCCTGAGTTCATCTATCTTTAATCATACTGTTTCGTCGAAACACCAGCTAACATTTCTGTGAGCAAGTATGTTGTCTAAACTAAGCTTCATCTTTTAATCTCTTTTCGATTTAAATTTTCAGCAAATTGGTTACATGTTTAACACTATGCCGGTTTTTGGGGAATCCAGGGTCCCAAGCGAAATTTAAAGTTGAATAAAAGTACTAAACAGTGTATAAACTAACCGGAGTTAAGTCTCATTGTATAGATTGAACATTTCTCTACACGAATGACATATACACATATGCATATGTGTGAGTATGTGTAAAATACAGCCTTCCGAAAAACATGTTACGCTGTTGTTCTTTGGGGACCACAGGGCCACATGGCTATTTTATATTATAACTGGACTATGATAAGAGATATCGACTTTGTGTCGGTAGCAGTGTTGTAGACTAGTTTATGTACTACAACTTCGCCGTAGACATCAAGTCGTTATAGAAGTAAAAAAATGTAATGCCTATTACCTATTACTATTACTTTTGTAATAGGATCACCTATTACTATTACTTTCCTATTACTTTTGTAAAAAAAATTACCTATTACTATTACTATTACTATTACA